CAGGGCGAGCCGCAGGGCCTTCCAGAAGTGGGAGCCGGAGCGCTTGGACTTCTCCCCCTTCCAGGTGACGAAGGAGACGGACTCCTTCAGCTGGAGGATGCTGGGGTGGGTGCACTGCAGCGGCCTGTACTCCACCACGATGAGCTTGGTGGCGATGGCGTTCTGGCACATGATGCCTAGCTTGAACTCCAGGAGGCTGATGCTCTTCTCCGTCAGGTAATCGGGACTCAGCACCACAATCATCCTGCGGCTCCTCTGGATGAAGTCGAACACAGCTTCAGTGGTATCTAAGAGTGCAAGGGCAGAGGAATTGGGGTGCACAGGGAGGGAGCAGGGAGAGAAAGGCTAAAGGAAGCTGTTTAGTAGCATACCTGCTCAGAATCCCACTGAGGGAAACCTGGCACAAACCCAGTGACTTTCAACTTGACTGCAGGGACTGCAGGAGCAATGGTGACATTTTTGCATCACAGTTGTTTTTTTTAGACAGCTGAAGTGGTAACTGAGAAACCAGGACAGCCAGATAAACCAGGACTGTACCCTGCCTTCTGCACTGCACGGAACCACTGCTGCCCAGGAACTGCAGGCGTTTGAAAAGTGCGGGTCTTGGTCAGGAACCACCAGCCCACAGCTCTTTGCATGGGGGGATCGAAATGGAGCGATCATGTAAACACGCCATAGACCACACTGCCAAGGCTGAGACCCACCTCCCTCCCTCTCACGCTCTCTCATCTAGAAATTTAAGCCTCCAAACTTAGAAAGCATAAATATCATCCTTAAACCTCTCCATCAGTTCCCCAAGCCATGACAGAGGGTTAAAATACTGTCCTTCAAAGCATTTCTTGGATTAATTGCAGTTTGTAAAGCTCAGCAAGATGTTCAGCTGAAATGATGCCAGGCAAAGGCAGCACCTTTTTTATTACGAATGCTGAAAAGCAGCAAACTTGAAGGATGCCCTTGAACTTGTCTATGGCTGGGGATGCAGTAAGCATATTGAAGGTGTCATGGCTAACAGGTGAGCAGTGGGAAGGACGAAAATTAATTGGGCTGTAGCATTTAGCAAATTAAGCCAAGGTGATAGGGACCTGGGGACAAGGTGGAGTTCAAGCAGGAGAAGGAGCACTGGAGTAAGAGCTCTTGCACACGCAGTGAGAAAAAACCTTGTAGAAATGTCTTGCTAAGAGCTGTTTTGTGAAGAGCTACCTGCTGTCTCCACTGACTTTCACACTGCTAAAGCCTCAATTTCTCAGTCTGGAGATCCCTCTCCCTCCCTGCCAGCAGGCACTGGTCTTCTACAGAAACAAAAATACTTCCCCTTCTCTGCCTCTTATTCTTCCAACACGTGGCTGTCTCTTTCCTTACCTCAGAGCAGAAGGTGCACCGTGGTGCACCTGAATCCATCTTCTTTTAGTATTGTACAGAGCAATGTTTTTTTTTTTTTTTTTTCTCTTCAAAGATATACAACTAGCTGTAAAACTCATTGTCACTGGCATATTTGGTGACCAAGAACTTGGGAGAGAAAAAATGATTGAATGGCACGATCGTAATAGAGAAAGTAAGGTACTTTTTGGTTCTTTAACATAATATTGGTGTTTAAATTAAACTATTTGGAGTATTTTTTTCTTGTATACAAGTTTGGAGGGATTTTTGCCCTAGATACACACGGGAAAACTAATTCACTGAAACCAAAAGCAGACGCTAAAGTCAGTTCTGTCAGAATTGTCAATGCCATGAAACATTCTTACTACCCTATTTCAAAGGCAGAAAGAATTGGCAGCCATCTCCCAATTTACTCAGTCCAGACCTCATTCAAACCTTTCTGATTGAGATCTATTTTGAAATCAGCCAAGCTTCAACATTTTGTGAAAGAAAAAGTGCCTTTGCTGGTTTGAAAGGTCTTTCTTTTTGAAACTGGAATCAGAGTGAAACGTTGGCAGGAGCAGCCCCAGGGAGGTCACCTATTCTACCTGCCTGCTCAGAAAGCACAAGTTCCATTAACGTGAATGATTCCAACATTGCAGAAATGAAATGTTTTGATTGAGCTGGCAGTGATGGTTTTATCAGTTCTGAATTTGTGACACTCAACATTTTTTTTTGGCAGTGAAAAATGCTCAAATTCCCAAAGATAGATTTTATTCCTGAGAATGGGATGAACTTAGACTTGGCTGATCAGAGTACTTTGGGTTTTTCAGCCTACAATGTAATCCCAGATCATGAAAAATCCTGAGTGGGCCCTTCACGGTGTGCAGGCAGGACAGATCCTCCCAGAGACACCAACAGCACAGGATGGGACAAGCAGCAGCAACATTGTGAGGTTTAGGTACCAACAGAGCTGGAAGTTTGATACTCCTGGATATCTGCTTTATACTAAAAAACTTCCATCTTTACTAAATGGTTACAGAGACTTTGCATGTTTTTGTTGGTTTCCTTATGTCTCCCCTAAAATGGACCCCAGAGATGTAACAGAGGATTAGAAAAAACACGCAGCTGGGGGTCCCAGCCCAATAGAAGCTGGAGCGTCACAGACCCCAGAGACCCCAAACCCATAGATCGTCAAGAGTGTTTGTTTTGGTAGTGGTTGGGAAGAGCTAGGCTCTCTCTCAACTTCCCTGCTAGAGTGCAAACATGAGAAAAAGCCAAGAATGTGGCTTAGTTCAGAAAATAGGAAGCTGAATGAACATTTTCTACCCAGCTACCTGGAAGGTGACAGGCAAAGCATCCTAAGAGCAAGTTTGATTTCTGTGGTTAGGAGAGATTTCCAAGATTTCTGTTCAACACTCTGGCTTGGTGTCTCAAGAAAAGGGATGATGTTTCCTTCACATCTTTCTATCTTGTGATTGCTGAGTGAGTCAGAGACTGTGTGTCTCTTCGAGTCAGAGACTGCGTGTGCATGTCCACTGTCGGGTGATATTTGAATGCTCTGTGTCTCTGTGTTTCTGCTTGCATGGCCCTAGTAGCAGTTGTGGTGCCTCAGGATCTCTGCAGGCACACCATGAACCAGCCAGGAACACACTCCCCTCTAAGGAGGTGTTCCCAAATGATCTTGAAGCATGGACTGTGCACTGTTGTCTTTGACAACCTTTTGCAGATGTAATGGGAAGGAAAATGATACTTATGAGTATACTTATGAGAAATGCACAAGGACTGAAATGCAAAAGTGAAAATGGTTTATTGAAAAGCAAAATAAAATAAATACTGACACTTCACAGATCAAATAACACAAAGGCAAAAACATACAGAAAAGAGAAGGGTAAACTCTGGAACAGCTTTACAACATCAAATGGCATGGGGGGAAGGATATTTTTTCCAATTTGTGCCACGCTGTTTCACCATGAAATAACAATGAGAAACTTTGCACGAGCTGAATATTGATAAATGTTAGGTTAGAGCACAGAAATTCAAATGAATCAACTGAAGTAGACAGATGCTGTGACAGAATCCTGTAATGGAACCCACAGGTGGCACAGGATGAAATGGCATATCTGAGGTGCTTCGCAGACCTGCGTTACGCTGGGACTGGGCTCTGCCCCTGGCCTGACAGCTCCCAGCAAAGCCACTGGTAAAGCTCCTGGGGGAGCAGAGACTGCTCCAGTGCTATTCCTTCCACACTGCTCCCCCAGGATCTCTCAAGCCCCTTTGGAGCATCACACCATTTGCCTTGTGAGTCTTCTGCTGATGTTTGCCAGTAATCCTGTTCTGAGGTTGCAGTGGCACCAAGGGCCACTGAAATGCATGGCAGAGAAAGTCCCACTCTACTATTTATTCAGAAAACTCTGAATAAAATCAGCAAACTAAATGAGGCGGTTTAAAATTCCTAAAATAATCAGATGTACTAAAACATAGGCATAAGTTCTCCTTGTACCAGAGCCAAAAGTGAGATGTGATGTGACGGGGTCTGGGACGCTAATTGAATTTACACACATTTTTGAGTCATTATTTTAAAAATCAAATTGGAATCTAACACAGCTCTGCTTTGGCCTCAGGGCCTTCCCTCTGTTTGCAGAGCTGGCAGCTGATTACAGAGATGCTGAAAACACAAACAAAAAGGTGAAGCTGGGCAAAATGACACCGTTACAAGGGCCCCACAAAGCTGAGCATGGTTTTGGGTGCTATCTCATAGAAATTAAGCTTTCTGGAGTGTGGGAAGTTTCTCTGTCCTTCCACAGACAGCCACAGTGATAAGCTTGTAATAGCAAAGCTTTTAAGCACCTCTGAGCAGGTGAGGAGCTCCACTGCCTTCACTGAAGCTGACTGCAATTTTACCTGCTTACAGCAAAGCTTACATGGAGTGGAGAGGATGAAGAGGAAGGTGAGAAAGCAGCTCTGCTTGTTCCACATTTGTACAGTACCTGCCCCACGGCATGGGTGGCTGAGGCTCCCCGCTGTCTTGCAACAGTATTACTAATCACAAGATGCTATGAGAAAGGGGCTTCACTGGTGCCAGGATTCAACCTCATGCCTTTAAGGCTGGGCTCTTTACTGGGATGCCCTCAACCCCCCCTGCTCAGCTGAGTGAATAGTGCATAGAGTCCGAATGGCAGGACTTTTTTAATGCCATAATTAATGGGTGGGCTTCACCTGCTGGACACCAGCCAAGCGAGTGCACGAGCCAGAGGCGACTTGGGAGCAACCATTACCAACAACACCCAAGCACACACTTAGTGTGAGGAACACTCAGTTCCACAAGTGGGCAGGGCCTTGCACTGGGAGCCACAGGAGTATGGAGACACCCCCAGAGCTTGTAGTTTTCTGTGAAAACATTGTCAACAGCAGTACCAGTCAACACCAGGGTCCTGCTGTGCTTTGGTCTGTCCTACAAGGGAAGGGACACTCCCCTTCTTGGTCTGAAAAGGCTGTCTGCTAGGGGTGAACTCACCAGGTCCTCTCCTATGCCTGCTGCCACCCACTGGAGCAAGGACTGGTACTCAGGGGTTTATTTACTATTTCCACTTTGTGCAAAGGTTGCAGAAGCTGAGATACATCCTCTGTTCTGCAGCTCTGAGCTGGAAATAAGATGGACAGAGAGTTGCTTTCTAAAGCCAAGACTAGTTTAAACCTGAACCCTGAATTATGAATGCTGATGTTGCGCATATGCAGGCAGAGAACACTGAGTCTTCACAGAACCATAGAATAGTTTGGGTTGGAAAGGACCTTTAAAGGTCAGCTAGTCTAAGCCCCCTTCAATATAAGCAGGGACATCTTCAACTAGATCAGGTTCCTCAGAGCCCTGTCCAACCTGACCTGGAATGTTTCCAGGGATGGGGCTTCTACCACCTCTCCAGGCAACATGTGTTAGTGTTTCACCACCCTCACTGTAAAAAATTTCTTCCTTAAATCTAGTCTGAAACTACTCTTTTAGTTTAAAACTATTTAAAAGCATTACTTCCTATTGCAACAGGCCCTACTAAAAAGTCTGTCCCCACCTTTCTTATAAGCCCCCTTCAAGTATTAAAAGGCCCAAACAAGGTCTCCCTGGGGCCTTCTCTTCTCCAGGCTGAGCCACTCAAACTCTCCCAGCCTTTTCCTCATAGTTTTACCCAGCTGGACAGAGCTAGTAGTTTTTAATAAGTCCAAACAAGTTTGCAGGTCTCTTGAAGAGTTGGACGTATATCCAGCGTCACCCCAGAGGCCTTGGCAGTACCTTGCATAATGCTTTCCCACAGTCAGCAGCACAGAGACAGTAGGTGGGTTCAGTAGTAAATTGGGGTTCCTTGCAGTGCTTGTGGAGTCCCTGAGTTTACTCTGCAAAAAAGTATCTCTCTGACATGCTCCATGGCCTGTACTAGAGAGAGATTTCTCCTTGATTATGAGCATTGCAGCCCAAAGGACCTGAGGTACTCAGGAGAATGCAGAGTCCCAGAAACTAACTACTCATTAGCAGAAATTCTACAATACAAAGAGTACCTAGTTAGCAGAAGTTTTGGGTTTGTGGTTGTTTTTTTGTTTGGTTGGTTGGTTTGGGTTTATTTTTATTTTTTTTTTGTGTGTTTCATTTTATTTTACTTTTTTAGTGCTTTTGTAACAGCCATTTCACATTGCCTAACTATCTGAATGCACCTGCCCCTACAGAAACCCTGGGAGCAAAGGTGAGGAGTCTCAAGAGTCTACACTCCCCCCACTGAAGGAGAAATCTGTGATCCCACCATGATCAAGACTATATAGCTGGGACACATATGAAAGGCTTTATACTAGAGCCATTTTTAAAGCTCTTCCTCAGCCTCTGCAACAGGGACCAACAACCCTGGAGAGAAACCACTTAAAAGAAGAAAGGAGGATGGACCTGGATGTTAGTAAAGGTCCCATAGGAACTGGATCTAGGAGTACTGGCCTACACAAATACCATGCTACCACAAGGTGCTGGCTGTGGCCCACTTGGGTGGCCAAAATGTAGACCCCAAGCCCAGGGCTTCTGTGGTTGACAAGAACATGCATTTGCAGAAGGGAGGTGTGTGCATCCTTGGTCTCTCTACTGCCAGAGCACAAGACAAGCTGCAGAAAGGCATGAATGTCCTCTGAAATGCTTGGGACACAGTCCTTCATAGAAAAACCCTGAGTTCCTCCCCACTCCCTAGCCTAACTTGTGGGTTTGGGGAGTTTGTTTTCTGATGGTGTCAAACATTTTTCAGGGATATATTTGAGCCTGTCAAGGCTCAAACGCCTGCTAACTTTTTCCACTGGCATTTCTACCTGCAGCTGCTTCCAGAACCTGCCCTTTGGATACTTGGATTTCTCGCCTTTCCATTTAATAACAGTTAAGGCTGTCTTGGCCTGCTTCAGCTCCTTTAACTTGCTCTTCTTGATGGCTTTGTACTGCACTAGAATGACTTTGATGTTGCCCTTGGAGGCCATATTCTCTAGACCAGCCTTGAGCTCCAGCAGGGCCTGTGTCCCATGCAAGACGTAGCTGGGGCTCAGGACCACTAGCAGACGTCGGCTTTTCTGGATGAAGCTCAGGGTTTCGTCTGTGACAACTGGGAGAAAGAAATATTGAGGTGGTTAGTGATGGCTGAGAACATGCTGCTCAGCTGCCAGCCTGACATCAGATGTCTCTTGAAGGAAACCATAAAAGCCCTTGGAGGCCCTCTCTAGAAGGCTATACTGGTGCTTCCCAACCCTGCAAGCAATACCAGGCAGGGCCTCCTACACCATGGGTGGTACTCACTACCCCATACAGTGCCATCTTCTATTCCCAGTCCCAGGCTGCCTACAGACGTGTTTCCTCCTCTGCACGCTATGTGGAGATGCCTGAAGTAGCTACATCTAAAAGGTACTGTAACACAGGGCAGTGACAACACCAGTGCTATGAGGATGCCACATGGCCAACAGGGTTACTCTGGTAGGCTCAGATTTAGCTTCCTTCTCATGAGAGTGGAAAGTCTCCAGAAAGTTTCTCTCTGGAGCAAAGTAGGAAATCTGACAGCTGGACAACACAAGACCTCAAGGAAAAGACTCAGCCTGAAGAGGTGTTGGGAAGCCTGAATGCCTACACTTGCATCCTCTGGCAGAGTGTCCTCATGAGTTAATTGGCTTTGGAAAGACCACCCTCCTATCTCCTGTTACTCATCCAGCTGCTCCTGTTGCTGTCACTGATGAAAGCAGATTTGGGTGTTTCTCGAAGTGACAAGTAAACTGCTCCGTGGACTTTTAATGAAGTGTCCCAAAAGTGACACTCTTCAAATTGGAGACATGTCACAGTAACTATGGAACCTCTTTGATTTTCTAACATCTGCAGGTAGACTGTCCTTAGGCGCTTTTCTGTAATTAATGTGAAAATTCCTTGTAAGTGTGAATCCTGGTGCCTGCACTCTCTGCTGCAGGACCTCCCATGCTTCATTGACTGGTCAGAAAATAAAATGGAGAATAAAATAATGCTGACAGGCAACTTCATTTAGCTGTCAAGCACGTTTGATTCGTTTCTGTCAGCAAACTTGCAGGATAATCCATCTCCCACTGTTTCTTCATCGAGGACAACAGAATTCTCTACCCATGACAGATGCACACAGGGAAGCATTACACCAGCCTCCAAAAGCTACTCCCTGTCCCACTGTGCTTCTCCATGAAGGAGATTAGTCAAATCCCGACTAAGAAGCACCAGAGAAGCCCCAGCAGTATTGTAAATGGCAGTGCAATGATGAGCCACCCCAGGAATGCTCAGGAGAGCTGGGGCGGGATTAAGGCTGGTAGGGATCGCCACAGTGACCAGGGATGGGAGCTCTCCCAGGGTGAGGTGAAGGGCCGGGAGCCCAGGAGAGCTAATCTGGGAGGAAAATCAGATCCTCCAAAGGGAAGGGGGAAGGCTGGGAAGAAGTAGCAGGGCCAACAAGAGAGAGACATATGTCATGAGGAACAACTGGTAAGAACAGCTCAGAGCAAACCTGCTCTGAGCCTGGCAGTGGCATCAAAGAAATGGAGCCTGGAGGGTGCTCTGCCATATCATCCACCCTCTCCCTAGAAGGAACAACACCAGGATTGCAGCTGTCTCCCTGTCCCCTGAGACATTCGTATTTATTTGCCCTCAAACTTAGACGTGTTGTGTCCTAGCAATGATCTAGGACATAAAGATAACAGATCCCAGACTGATTCTGCTCCCTCTGTCACACAGCTGGGCTGGGACTCCAGCAGTCCCTCCTGTGCTACCCAGAAGGGACCCCAAAGCACAGGTTTTGTCATCAGGGCCATCTGCATCAAAGCCCACGATTTCAAAGCAGGGCAGTCTGCACTGGCTGAAGTTCATGCTTTGAACTTTTAGTAGGTATCAGGGATTGTACAGACAACTCGACCCCAGGACACTGGAAACTGAGAGTGTTCGCTAGGTTTGTGTCCTTGTTGTGTCATCTATGTGACTGTCCATAGCTGGAGAGTTTCACAAACTTTCATCCTTGGTGATTCCCTGCATGCCTCCAGCTGATGCTGCAACCAGAATCTTGTATGATTTAGCTTGAAACAGTGGAAAAAAAAAAAAATCTGCATCTTAGTGAATAGTCTCATTAGCTGCAACAAAGTGCCCTTAATTACAGCAACTTAATTGTATGCCATGTTAGACACAGACTCCAACTAACGAGCGTGAGTGGGAGGCATTCTAGGAGGGCAAGTTATCTTCTCACTGATGTTGGCAAGGTGCTCTCCACACTTCCCTGAAGCAGATACTCATGGTTTTCACCAGGCACTCGCCATTACCCTTTGCGAGCTACACATCTGGCCCAGTGTCACACTCCCCCTGCCTCTTTTCTTTCTGGCCTTGACTTTATCTGCATATTTTAAGGCAGCTCAGAGGGTATGCATGAAGGTCAGTGGCCCAGTTCTCTCATGTTGATAAATCAATCGCTCCTCCACATCACTCCTGGGGAGAGCAATTGATATGACCAACAATCACCACTTGCCCACCGTAGCCTTTTTTGGTGGCCTGAAGCATCTGTGACACCATCACACAAAGCAAAAACATTGGAAGATACTAACAAGAGATCACTAATGGAGATGGGGGAAAAACCCTAAAGGATAAAGTTAATCTGGACAGGCCCGTTCCTACCGATTACCTCCAAGAACAATAAAGAGAGGATGTGGATGGAGCGCAGCCCCCTGTGAAATACTCACTTCCCCCGGGGAGGCCGTCTCTGTCGAAGATGCACAGCTTGTAGCCAAACTCATTCTCCAAGACTCCCCGCAGCGTGAGCAGGACGAACTCCTCCTCCTCGGCGTTGCGGGCGTAGGACACGTAGACGTCGTACTCCTTCCCGTCTGGGCAGGGGGGCACAGAGACACAGAGGGCACAAGCACTCGTGACGCTGCGCGGCTGGTGCCGGAGGAAGGGCAGAGAGGAAGGCTCCCGCCCAGCCCCGGAGCTGCACCTCAACAACCCCTTCCCATCGCTCCGGCCGCGCTGCCTCTCTGACCGCCCACGGCCTGAAGGGGCAGCTGCTCAGGCACCGCTGGGTTGCTGGAGGCACGAGACTGCAGCGAGGTGACCAGAGTGCTTTTGTCTTTTGGCATTGCTTCTTCCCTTGCTGTCTATCTACATGAGCAGTCCCTCCAGACAGAGGCTTGTGCCCTGTCTACACCCTCTGAGAGGTGCCGCACCCCCTTGGCAGGTTCATCTCACAAGCTGAAAGGGCTCAAACACCCTCCTCATCCTACAGAGGACGATATCTCAGCTCAGAGTCCCAAGACATGAACTCCCAGTAACACAGTGGAAGAACTGAGGACAGAAGGGTGATTCCCAAATCCATCCTTTTGGATGCCTTCCCATATTTTAAAGCAAGTCACTCTGGGTTAATGAATCCTTACAAAGAGTCACTAGGGAAATCAGGGACTTCCTGAAACTTGATGACTTATTTTGAACATCTGGATTGGGTGAAACGTAGCCATCAGCGGGCAGTGACCCAGGGAGCCTGATATATCCACCTTTCACCTCTGCAGACAGGACAGAGGACTTCTCTCTCTCTCCTTTCCCCTGACTCAAGCCTGACTCCTCCTCCTCTAAAATGACCCATACAACTAAACGCAGGTATAGAATTGGAAGCTCAAAGTGTCATTACACTGTGAAGAGGGTTAAAAATAGGTTATACAAAAATTCCTATATAAAAACAAAAGGTCTGTCCTGTAGCAGGATAAAAGAGATATAGGCCTTTTAACTCCTTACCTAGAATGGTTTCATCTGTTCCAAAATGAGCCCGATAGAAGAGGACCATTTCAAGCCAATAAACGTGATAGATGACTATCAGCACCACAATGAGCAGGATGGTTGCTCCCAGTCCACAGGCCAGCTCCACGGTGTACTTTGGTGTTACAGCTGGGTTCAAAAAGAAATAGGGGCTCTGGTTTACAGAAGAGGTTGGGCCTTCAGCTAAGCGGGAACAAGCTTGTGTCATATGCATTCAAATACCACAGAGGAACAGCCAAGAGCCAAGCTGGCCCTTCAGAGGAAGGTGGCCAAGCCAAGGTTTTTCTGGCAGGACATGTGATGGCTGGCCACCCTGGAATCCCCATTCTGGGTTACTAGGTCTGATTGGTCTGGCAGAACAAGTCAAAACACAGGCTGGACTTCTGTCTCTGAGTGAGACCCTGGGAGCAGCCAGATGGTAGAATGACCTGTTGATGGAAACCACCCGCACAGTCCAAAGCCAGCTCACAAACAAGATCTTCTCAGCAGTATATGCAAACTCTTGAGGCAACACAACAGCACTTATTTCTAGGAGAGCCAACCAAAGCTCACCTGTAGCAAAATAAAGGCAATGGCCATCATTTTCCCTCCCCATCAAACACACACAGTCCTTGTGGCTTGTCCTAGACTGACAGCAAGGATACAACTAGCCATGGCCTGATTGTTTTCTACCAGGAAAGAAAAATTAGAGTTAATTACAGAAAAGATGGAATGCTTGCAAACAAATAGGACAACCTGTGGATATCACAGGGCCTCCTCCAGCTCATACAGTGTCTGTCATATCACTGCTGCTTCTTTGTATTAAGGACAGAAAATAACTCTTCTAACTGTACCCCTGAGCAACTCTGGTTTTGGGGTGATTCAGGTGGCACCTGACATGCACACTGGCAAACTGCATGACAAAAGAACAGCAGTGAGTGGAAATATCACCAAATACATTTTATTAGAAACCAAATTATAAAAAAAAAAAAAAAAAAGAAAATTGAAGGAATTAACAACTTTCCTTAGGTGATAAGCAGCAGGAGTACATGAGAAGGAGAGGGAAATCACCCAGAAAAAGCAGAAAATGTACATAATCTAATGTAATGGAGGAGCTATACATAGCTACTTGCTAAAAACTGGCAGACAAGTGCTGAGGGGTTGGGTTCTGGGAGGCTCGATGTTCCTATGCACAGTGGCATGGTCTGCAGTGAGCTTAGCTTAAGGTTGCTCTGCCAGCAGCGGTGGGGGATGGTTCTTGCATTTTGCTGTGAAACAGAGCAGAAAGGAGAGGTGGTGAGTAAGCAGGTCTGCTCAGAACAAACTCACCTAGCTGCCCAGGAGCAGATGGGAAGGATGGAAAGGATAGTAAAGAAAACAACATTTAGGTGCTGCTGTATAGAGAAAGAATCTGAAGATTTCAGATTTGCTTCTGCTACATGTACAAATATTATCTTCCCAGAAGAGTTATATATGTAGGATGAACACACTGTCAGATGGTTTCAGTCCTTCTCAGTTGTGTATTTGGTCTATTGTTCCTTCCTAATGAACCAGAAAAGGTTTGTCTCAGATGAATGAGACTAAAAAAGAAGGACAAGTACCAAGAAGTAAGAGAAATAGCTCTTCCAGTAAAGACTTCTCACGCTAATGGGGCAGAGTCAGTGGAAGAAAGTGTCTGGCATGAGCTTTACAAGGCAGGGCAACATCCCTTATGGAAAAGGGGAAGTCCAACCTACAGTAAGCGGGTGTTGAAGCTCTAGATGAGGTTGATAAGGAGGTGGATATATCTAGATGAGGTTGATAAGGAGGTGGATATATCTACCTTAATCAGGAAACCTCACATAGCTATAGCGAAGGCTCTGTTCTTTTTACTGAGAGGTGGATCTGGGAAATGGGAACAAAATCTTTGATGAAAGATAGATATGGGGAAAAAAAAGGCTACACTAAACAGAGCTGAATCACTCCATACCTTCCATGCTGAGATAGATGTATCTAGACTGGAGTGCCATCACAGCAAGGAGTAAAACCAGAGTGTCACAGTTAGACTGTCTCACTCCCTGAGCCATGTCAACATGTGCAGTCTGCTTTCTGGAGGATGCCAACAGGTAGCTGTTGTGTCACGCAAACCAATCACACAATCAAGTAAAACAAAGTGATTTCAAGCAGCCTGTCCCCTCAGGTTTGCTTCAGCTGTGGTACATGGATGGGATAACACCAGGTCCAGCCACCTCTCTCCCACTCCAGGCACTTGACCACAGTCGGGTAGGCGTGACACGCGTCCTCTGCTCCCTGCCTCCAAGAAGTGGTGCAGTGTGACAGCAGTAATATAGCAGCACACAGAACAGCGTGTGTTGGAGAAAGAGCCTGATGGAAGTATTTGTTCCCCTGCTGCTTTGCAGGGCCAGAGCTCTCTGAGCTTGCCTCGTTTCACACCCGTGCTCTGCAAGTCCCTTACCTTTCATGCGCACTAGGGCCTGGCTGTGCTCCTCGCCCTTGGCGTTCCTGGCATAACAAGTATAGTTCCGTTTCAAGTCCTCTGGTGTGGCTTTTGTAACTGTTAGCGTCCTTAGGACAGTTTTGTCTTCAAAGTCTTTAACATTTTCACTGTAAGAGAAAAACTAGAATGTTACATATGTGAAACTGCAGCAGGTTCTAAGTGACAAATATTCCCTTCCTTGATACAATCCAACTCTTTCTTTAAAAAAAAACAAAACACCTGAACTGATATTTATAAATTGATACACACTTCAGATTTTAATACAACTGCAGCTGTTCCTTCTTCTGATTTTCCTTAATATTTATTTTGCCACTCATCATTTTCTCATTGCTGCTGTATCACTGCATTTTAGAGATAAAGGAAGCTTTTGCCTACAAAGCAACAAGATCTCACAAACTCAGGATTTGGAGCCCCACCACACGTCCCATGTGGTCCTGGATAAGTCACTTCATGTCTGCCTGAATTGATCATCTGCAAACTGAGGATTACAGCAGTTCCTTTTGCCTTCCATTTTTCTACATAGGTTTGCAAAATGATTGGCGCGGCAACGGCCTCCCACATGTAACTCAGCATCCAGCAGGTGGGACTCTGAACCTCACTTGGTTTCTTCATGTAACAGTCTCTACTCCTCCTAATCAACACTATATATAATACTACTTTTTTGTTTCAGTTTTTGAAATGTTTTATTACTTATGCTATTTGGGAACATTCCTCTAAATAAAAATGTGTCAGCCCCTGTTTTAGAACAGGTTGCATAGTATCTGTCCCACAATAGCACCAGCTGTTGGCAACACTATCAGGACCTGAACAAGTTACAATGTAAACTGGTAAACAAAGCCCCCTCAAATCCATGTGTAAGAGGAGACACTGTCCAGGTCTGGAGGCCTCCTCCCTGGAGCTCCTGGTGCTCATTACAGCATGGTGCAGACACAGAGGTTTCTCATTAACAGGGAAGTGGGGGACTCCACACTCCTGTGGAAGGGAAAATGGGACTTCTGCATGTCTGTAAGGACCCAAGAGAGGGTTAGATACAAACGAAGGTTCACGTTATGTTACCTCTGTGTGACTTTTATCTTGGGGTCTGTGATATCATCTGTGTTTTTCCCATCTATGGTCCACCACACTTCAGACCGGGAGTCCTTAAGGAAGGTGAAGAAGACCTCACAGGGCAGAACAAGGTCATCTCCTGAAAAAAAGGGAACACAGTGAAGTTTTGCAAAGCAGAAATGTTGAGGGTCTGACTTTTGTGCTTTCCAGTGATTCTACTAGCCTGAGGTCTGCCTCCCTTCAGGAGGGAATTAGTCCAGCATCTGCCTTCAGACGTCTGATAAGAGTTTAACACATCAGCCCTGTTTATCCACGACAGATAAATAAATAGGGAAAAATCTCCTGCTTTCTCAAATGAGTTACAAGTTACTTGACTGCACCAAGCAACCCACCCAAGGACAGATGCTCCATGCCAACCACTTCCTTGGAAAGCCAGGCAGTATTAATCATCCCCACTGCCCAGGGGACAGATGCCATGAAGTGAAGGATTTGGCTCCACAAAAGCATTTTGGTGTGGGAACACTTGTTCAGGCATTTAACTCTCCCTGAAGATCAGGCCTGGGTGTGTGAATATCTTTGTGATCAGTCTATAAGTTATTTTATCTTACAGAGTGACTATGGAAGAAATTTGACCTTCTGAGGTCACAGAAAAGCTATGGCTTAAAGTGAAGACTCTGCTGCTAATCATTATCATTGGCACCACATTTATTAAAGCAATGTGATGGGACGTGATCCATTCAATATAGGGAATTGCTCCAAAGAGCTATCAACCTAAACAGATGGGGTGGGGGAAGGGGTATGGTACCCCGTTACACAATGCTGCGAGGCCAGCAAAAGGAGAGCTGTCATTAATTAGGAAGCAATCAGGCAAAAAGGGAGAGGAAAGGCAGCCAAAAAGGGAGAGGAGATAAGCAAGAAGTGGCCAGAAGGCTGAAGCCAATAAGGGGATGAATGAGGGTGGGTGGGAGCAAACCACAGCCAGGGACAGGGCTGAAACAAGGTCCTAAAGGAATTTCTCTAAGCAGCTGAGGGTCCCCATTCCACCTGCTTCAGCAGCAGCTTCTGCGCCCTGGCTGGGTCTCCCCATTCAGGCAGGCAGGCTGCCAGGCCAAGGAGGGCAGGCAGAGAGTGTTACAATTTACCTGCTTCCACTTCGTAGGCAACTTTCTCATTTGGAGAGTTGAACTGTGGTGGCAAGGCCTTGTTCGGACTTCCTGTGGGAGAGAACAGAGACCCCCCACTTCATGAACCAGACTTCACGAGAACCTGGGGTCCTTGCAGACCCATTCATGATGCTCTTGTGCCCTGCTGCATATGTCCCAGTCTAACTTGTGATACTATCCTGCTGCAGAGTTCAATACAAAGAGAAATCTAATCCTGGTCCCCAAACCCAGGGCCAGATCCAGATTTTGAGGCTCCTCCAAAGTTAAGATAAGTCTATACAGAAGTTTTTTGGCATCTCGCATCCTAAGAGCTCTGTACCCCTGTCATCTCCCACAAGGCACAACCTGTACCAGTTTCTTTTTATGCTTCTAAAAATTAAAGTACAGACATAATTTCCTGTCACAAGTATTTAATTCAGCTCTTAAAGCACCAGTTGTTATGGGACTCAGCACATGCTCTATTAGGTTTCTAACCTCTATCTACAATTCCCTGTCAGGGACGTTGAGCCCATGTACCAGAGACACTACGCTGGGTAACTGGAGACTTGCCTGGCCAATGCTCTTTGAGACTGCAAGGAGACCAAGGCAAGTTGGCTATAATGGGACAACCCCACAAATGACAGTGAGCAAAGGGTACTGGAGACAAAACTGAGACGTGCCAGGGTTATGCATTCACATGCCAGTAGAGGGTACCACTGGCCATCTCATGAGCTATACCTCACCAGTCTAAGCCTGGTCACTCTCTGTGTTGTTTGGGGCATTTGACGTGGTGGTAGGTAGGACCTGCAGTGCAACATATTCTGGGTAATTACAAGAGGCTGAGCCCAGCAAGCAAAAATACACCAGGTCAGTTGGCTCATGCAGTTTGAACACAGCCACAAATGGATCCTGTGACAAACTCTTCTTCTAGCTGTCTTTACCACTTCTGCAGCTATCCATCTGCATCTTACACATTTTAAAGTCATTCTTACCCACAACCTTCATCTTTATGGTTCTGGTGAGATTATAGGTTCTTCCGTGGTCCTGGAATGTCACAATGCAAGTGTAGTTCCCTTTATACGTGCTGCGGACGATGCCGATGACAAGCCTGGGCCCTTGGGGGTATCGCTCATAGAAGCCATCCATCAAGTTGCAGTTCTGGAGTCAGGCATTAAAAAAACCCATGAGTTTTGGGATTCAAAAGTAAGGATAATGGTTTAAAGGCTACTACAAAGATTTGTTCTTCAACTATGAATATGATATTTGGGATTGTGATGCAGGTCCGAACTAAAGTGCATTTTGAAATACAAACTGGTACGTTCACCTTGAAAATGAGGTGATGAAGCAGATGACCCTAAATAGGTTTATCCCAACTTAAATTTTATAAAAGGGAGATCTCTGTTCCAGAAGTACATTTGCAATCAAGATGAGCACCTGAGCAGAGTAAAGAATGAAAGTAAAAAGAGACAGGAAAAAAAAAATGATGATAAATTCACAAATGGATACTAGGACTAAAGGACACGTCCCCCGTTGATGTCAGTGTCTAATGCTCTTGGGACTAATCAGGCTACCCTGACTGACTTCAGCTGAGAATAAGGCCCCAAAACTGGCAACTGGCAAATGAAAAACTGTAGTACGACAATCTTAATAACACTTTTTTCTGTCGGGCAAGGCAGGAAACGTCTGCCAAGTATCAAGCTAAAGATCCCGTTTCAGAAAGGGGTTATGCAGATGACATCTTGATTGTCATAAAACCCAAAGATGTTCACATTTTCCAAGAGATTATTTCTGAATGGTACATTTCCAAATCAGATACATCCTAATGGGGCAGTTTAAGACAAGGGTCATATACCATTTTTAATGATTTTTATTAGGCACGGGATGACTTGCTGCCTGAAAAATTACTTCCATGGGGCTTTTCGTTTCATTCTGTTAATTGATTGTTGAGATGTGAATTTCAATGAGTGGTACAAGTAAAGCACTTCAACTACTGCAGTGAAACTACTCCTCTTAAGATAAAAAAAAACTAAGTTTTTCCTGGAGGGTTTTAGAGTTGGGTTTTCCTTTGGGGTGGGTTTTTACTGCTGTTGGGGTGGGGTTTTTTATGTATTTTGTTTTAAAATCAGCAGATATATTTGTTGCCAGCTTTGTTTATTATTAAATTTTCACAGACAGAACCTTCTGTCTAGAAATCCAAAAGCACTTTATAAGCGATTAGAGAATTCAGTCCCACAACCCTCTGGCTACACAACTCCTGAGAATTCTTATTCTCTCCTGACTAAAGGCATCCACCTAAAGAAAAACACTGAGGTCAAAATTTAATAAAATTGAGCAGTAATTCTGTAAGCAAGAGCCTTAGGATGGCTGGAGGCAACCTAATTATCAGAGCAGTATGGAGTGTGGGACAGGGATGTCTCCATCTTCAGAAAAGAGGTGTTATGTCAAACAGGGCACACAGGGTCCTTGCAGAACCCTGATGTACAGCTTCATTTCCTGGTCTCAAAAGAGTTTGGAAAGGGTGCCATTTGCATCAGCAAGTAATTTTCTTTTTTTTACAGAAGAGGGAATATGAACCACAGTTTCCTTTTCAGGGATAGTGACTGGCTCACACAGCAGGTCAGGAATACTGCCCACAGCTTAACTGAAGTTCCTAAATCCATGCCAATCCTGCTCCACTTGTACACACTGGTGAAAGAAATTTCAGTGTTAGTTCTCAATTCCCTTCCAAGTGCAGTTGTACCCTTGAACTCACTGGAAACAAAACTTTTACAATTAGTAAAGCTTCATTAACAGCTCCATCAAGAGGAGACTCAAACATAGCTCCATGATTCTCATGCCAATCATCACTTTTCAGATACAACACTGCATTCCCCCACTGCCCAAACAAGTCCTTCTTACCCAGTACCACTTTACAGTTGGCGTTACACTAGGAGGGTAAAAGTCATCAATATCTGGACACATGATCTTCTCATTGGTGTGCTCCAAGTAGAACATCTCCTCAGTGGGTTTTATTGAGTGGCTTACACAAGAGTGTTCGTCTTTTGGAACAACCTCCAAGGGGAATGCAACTTTGCTGCAGTAGGTTGTATTTCTAAGGACAGAGGAGGAAAAGGCTGATTAGCTGAAACTTGTTTACTCCTATAGAAGTGGAAAGAAATAAAAAACACATCTGCAATAATGAGCATCATAGCGCTGATGAGGTATATACAGCCTTAGTTGACTCATTTATAAATGGGAAATAGAACACCATCAAGGATGGCCACACTAGCTCACAAAAGCCTATAAACAAGACTAACAAGCAACATCTACTCCCCTGCTGGTAAAGCAGATAATAGGGTCAAAGACACGATGAACAAGAGACAATGTGAGGAAGATCAGAAAGAGCTCTTGTGCTCGGTGTATAGCAGATGCTATGTTCATTTTGTACCACACTCAGAGGCACTTTTAATTTCCTAGAAGACTGGATCTCATGAATCTTTGCCAAATTAGCATGCAGTCAAAACATTACCCCTGCATTTGAAGCTATTTTTACTCTAGACATACAGATCGCTTCTTAATGGTGAGTGCCTGTGGATTTTGCCATGGGCTCAGCAATAATATTTTCATGGACACTTGCAGCTAGCAAGAAGAGGCATGCTCATTAATGTTTGCAAGGCTCCAAGCATTATTACGATGTAAATTGGCTCAGCACTGAGCGGTCTTATAATTGTAACATTCTTTTCCCATTAATGCTTATGTAAATGGTCTTCTCCCTACAGAAATAACTGGCACTACCAGCATAATTTTCCCACTTCCACGAAAGTCCTTCGATTACGCTGGAGACATACAGAACCTGCACTGCACAACCTACCTGAGCATGCACGTATAATTCCCAGTGTCGTTGAGAAGAGCAGGCCAGAACCAAAGGGTGTCTTTCTCCTTGCTGATGTGATTGTCTGGGAGACGAAAATTAATGGGCTCCTCCAGATCCCGGTCCTGCCTGATCCTGTACCAGATCAGGGTTAAGCCAGCAGAATGGGCTGTGCTGTAGTTGTACTTCAAGAAGGTCTCGAAAAGCGGGCATTTGATCTTGGCAGGTTCCCCATCGTAGATCTGGATTTGTTTCATGGTGTCCACACCCCAGTCATCGCAGCGCTCTGCAGCAGGGAAGAACAAAGTACCTTAGCTTGCAAGTCTGCAGGAGAAAAACAGTTCTGCTCATGTTGCCCACAGCCCTTGGTCCTGTGCCCATTAAAATCAAAGGCAAAAATGTAGTATTTTCAGTGGAAGCAAACCGGGCTTTTATAAAGCAGAGCAAGAATACTGTGGTCAGTTCTAGATAATCTGCAGACCTCTACTTTCTTGTGTACATCTACATTTCTTCCAAGCTATTTATCCCCCATCGAGGCAATAGGATAGGATATTCCTGCATAACACCAGGCTTCCTAGAGAGCTCCAAGAAAATTCAGTTCTCAGCTCTTGTGTGGAAACAAAGTTTGAATGAAAACAATGCTACAGGTGTGTGTACATCCATGCACAGTGACAGGGGAGATGGAAATACAAGTATTGGAAAAAAAAAAAAAACAATGTAAACAACCACCCTCCCTTAGAGCCATGGGCCGTTAGGCCTGACAGAAGAAGCAGGACTGAGGGTTCTGGGAGCAAGGACTGCCCTTCCTGTGGTGGGTTTGTGCAACGTCTGAGCACACTATGGTAACACAAAAAGTACAAGCACCAATAAGTGACAAATAGCGACTGTTTATAGTGAAGTTTGGGAAGGGTGGCTGAGAGGCAGAAGAGGCAGTATGGAGGAGGTGGCAGCATGTTCTCCTGGCGATGACCAGGCAGACCCCAGGTGCAATCCCCAAGCACAGTTCAACAGGCTCAGTGTGGCTCACAGCAGACTCAAGCTGACACAGAAACTAGGCAGCATGAAAAAAAGGTCATTCAGTGCCTTTTTTTTTCTCCCCATTTATTCTTGTCATTAGTAGACAGTTTCAGGAAAAACAGTACGTCAAAACCCATTTCTCTTCCAAGTGCTCCTTTCCACTCCATCCCTCCTACCCATCAGGATGCCCAGTCATGAATGGACTGGGTGCAAGCAAAGCAAGGCACCAGGGTGTCACTCACGTGAGGGCAGCCTGCGCTCGCAGCCGAGACACACGGAGAAGCTGCTGTCACTGCCCCTCCCATCCCCCACACTGAGTGGGCAGAGCATGGCACCCCACGCCTCCCAGTGCACCTCCTGTAGCTGCTGGGGGGCATCAGCTGGGGCAGCTTGACTCCAAGAGCCCAAAACAAGCAGGAAGAGGAGAGGGGTGTGCTGCCTGCAGCAGTCCCCAGGAGCAGTGTCTCAGCGTATCACAGACAACACTGCAAAACCTCCCTGGTCTGCAGACATGAGAAGAACTCAGAGCGAGAGGAAAAAACAGAATACAATATGCTCTTTGAGCCCTGTTCAGAACTGACTTCACAGTCCCAAAGCAGGATTTCTGGCATTTTATCTTCCTTAAATAGAGAGCGGGATGTAGCTTGGCCCCAAACTCATGCTTAATTAAAAAAAGCAAAGAGATAAACCTTTGAGGAAATGGGCCCACAGCGCTTAAAGGCAGCAATCTCTGCTCTTGTGGTTCAGCAATGGTTAGTCACAGTGAGGAAGAATCTGGGCCAGTAAGAATAGAAATGTTTTCTGTCAGGTTTACACATAAATGTAAATGCAAGCTGCACTGCTGCTCCTCTGGTATGCCAAACACCCGTATGACAGGGTGTTACTTCTGGAGGAAGAGAGTGAAACGGGCTAGGAAGAGGCAGTGAAGATACTCAGAGTGCAAATATTGCCCATAGGAACCCCAGACCCCAATGGCTGGAGAATGCCATCACTCATCATCTAAGAAACATAATACAGATATTTCCTTCAAAGCAGCATAGCATCATTCCGCCAGTGACAAGGCCTATTCTGAAAGACAAAAATACTATAGGAAGCCTTACACCATGGAAGTTGCACAGTCACCAGTCACCACCACAGTCAAAGCCAACAGGAACCAGTACATTGCTTTATGCTGGTGAGGTCAAGCTACTGGATTAAGCATAGTCAAGTTTCCACAAAGTGGTAAATGAGACAAATGAGTCTCCCAGAGACTGCCTGCTAATTGCATGATGAAGCACTGATTACTTTTCACAGAGGGCAAGCATTTTTTTTTTTATAAAGAAAGGCTTTCCCTCTGACAGGAGCAGACCTAGGTCTGTAAATCAGGACACTCGGATTCTCTTCCTGGCACCTGACTTCACTGTCTCCTCTTGGGCTGCATAAAGGCCAATTGTCCTTATTACTTCAAATGGTAGGACTGGAGAGGAAGAAGACCATATAAAATATTACAGTACTGAAATTCTTAGAGTGAAGATCAATGAAATTTGCAATCATGAACAGCTCTTGCATTTTGCAACAGCTCATAAATCAGCACTGTAAAACGACTTACCCATTCTACCTGAAGGAGTTGTTGAAAATAAATACAACTATTTTAATTCTTTTCTTCCTAGATTACTCAAAAGCAATGTATGGGCCTTGTTTTCTTGGCTGGGGAAGAGGCAACTGCTGCTGTTCTTTACTTTAAGAGCTGTACCTGGTGATTTTGTCTCAGAGCTGGCTGATTTGCATGACCTCAGGAACACTGTCCCTCCAAATGGCTAGTCCTAAGGGTCCCCACATGCATCCTGCTGTGGGGTGCTGCACACACCAAGCTGAACGCCAAACACAGCACATAACTGTGCTGGTAACGAGCAGCTACACCACAGAGCACAGAAGCAGCCGTGCAGCTTGAGATCGTGGGCTGTGCTCGCCACCCTGCTGGCAAGGACTTGGGGGCAAAGCCCAGCAGGACGCCGAGGGCTGTGAGCAAAGCCACAACCCACTGCTCACAGCAGAGATGGCAAAAACGCCATGGGATGGTTTGAGACCTCCTTCACACACAAAACACCAAGGACAAAAGTTGTGGTGCTTTGCACAGCTTCCCTCCTCCCTGTTCCATGCTGACAGCAGTACATCTATCTCCTTTTTCTGGGGGGTGTTTTATGTCCCAGATGGCCAAGCCGTGCCTGACATGGCATGCGAGGGGACTGCAGGGCATCCCTCACACACACCCCTTTCTGAGCCTCTTCCTCCTTGGCTGTGTTGTGGCTCTTCTCCCTGTGCCAACAACATCCTTTGCTGTGGTGCTACTTCTGCAACAGACCCCACCAGCCGCTCCCCACACACGGGTAAAGCAGAGGGAATGCTTGTATTATTGTTGCTATGATAAATATTATTGTTCCCTGCAACATTTTGTGCTCCTTCTACTATTTTAACCTTTATTGGATATTCAGAGCCTATTTGCAGCTAACACAAGCATGCAGCTACTTGGATGTCAGTCTAAAATGGAAATAACCTGAAACAAAAAAAGGCATGACTTCACACTGAACCTTACTGGTGTAAAGCAGCTCTCACTGTGAAAAAAAATAAAAAGAATATATACATATACAGCCACACATCCATTGCTATATCCTGACTTCAGCAACAATATTTGTGGGGGGCATTGCAGAAAAAAGATGCAAGGATGCAGTTCTGATTGTGAGAAACAACACCAGCTTCTGTGCTGTGCCTATCTGCAGCAACTCACATTTGTTTAACCTAGGCTAAGCCTAGGAAGGGAATTTCTTCTCTCTTGAAATGTTTCCTGCACAGAATAGCCACTGGAGTTAAGTCACACTCCTGATTAAATCGAGTGGGATCAGCATTCATACTCCGACACCAGAGGGTCACTAACAAAGGGAAACCAGTGGAGGAGCTATATGCAACTCCATGGTCCCTTCCATGCTGCAGCAAAGAGAATACACCACACATTACTGAGGGATAAGATAAAATTCTCTAAAATCTACCATCCCACAAATGCAGCTTCCTAGAAATGCCTCTGCAAAACACTTTTGAAAGAAACCACCTTAGTCTCATCACTGATGAGGTGTACTGCAGATGCCTCAACTGACCCCTCTTACTGCCAGGAGCTCTGCAATCACAGAGCAAGACAGACTATGACCATAATAGCTACCTGTCAGACAGTGCAGAAAAAGGCAAGAAATGGTCCTGCTTCCACAGCCCTGCTTGGGAAGAGGGATAAGAATTACACAGGCTGGAGGGAGGCTGGTGGAAGGAAACACTCACCTACAGTACTGGAAGAGAAAGTGCAGACAAAAAGGTCAGAGTAAGGATGCGCATCTTGATTTCATGATTCTTGATTTTTCAGCAGGCTGCTGTGCTAGTGGTCCTCCCTGGTGCATGCTGGGAACTAGGGGAACTGGCAAAGTTAACTCCAAATGTCCCTCTTGCTTGGACTGTATGTTGCAGCCCATGTTCACAGGGGTTCATCTGCTACTGATAAAACGGACAGAAACCTCTTCTGCTACAGAAATGGTCGTGTCTGTCCTATTTATGAATCTAGTACTACAGTGCCACTAAACACAAGCTAACTGAAAACAGATTCCTTCTCAGAAGCCAAATAATGCTGAAGAAAGTGGCTTCTCCAGATGTAAAACAGAAAATTTAAAAAAAAAAAAAAACAACAACAACAAAACAAACAAACAAACAAACAAAAACTTCAGGAAAAAAAAAAATGCGATTCACCCCATTTGCAATAGAGCTCTGAATATGCATATCTGAAATACCCCAAAGATGCATCTGCAGAACCCAGGACAAGCACCCCCAAAGTCAAAACAGAGATTAAATTGGTGTAATTATTTCGATATTTCAAGAAGAGACAAACTGCCTAACCCACGGCTCAAAAAAAAGAAAAACCAACAGCAGAGTATGGCTGCATCAAAAAAATGCCATACCGTTTTTCCCACAGTTTGGTATTTCTATGCAGTTACTTTAAGTACCTCCATTTAAGAAAAAATTCTCAACTACCAAAACTCTACCAGCTTTATACCATCTCCAGCCCTTCTCTCCTCTGGGGCTACAAAGGCTTCCCCTAGATAAAATTTCTGTGAAGAAATAATAAAGAACCATCCTTATGAGAGGCTATCCATCATGCCAGCACAAATTACCCTGCTATTTGCCAAATTGATGAGCCCTTCTTAATTGCCTCTAATTTTGGGAGGGGACTTGCCTCGCACACAGACTGGGACCATGCAGCGGGACACAAAGCTGCCCACG